AGGCTTTTTGCAAAAGTAACAGTGAGAAGAATCCGAAGTAATGAATAAAACGTAGAAATACTGCTGGAATCTCTTAACTGTCTGTAGAGAGATAATTGCTCTATTATTTTTAGTCTTTTTTTGTCAGCAAGTCTAATTTAGGAAAAATTATAAAACCTGTTTTTAGAATTTCATATTAGCCTGCATCAGTTTACAGCTCGTTGATAGTCCTGTAGGAAGTTCCGAAGACAGGATTCATAGGTTTGGCTCCCAAATGATGTCTGAATATAAATAGTCTAACTCTACATAAGAAGCGAATGTTAGCATCTTTGGTTGGAGCGTATAACTCATCAAATCTTCTTCAGATGGCCTCTAGCAAGCCAGTCAACCACATTTTTTTATCGCTTCCCTTTCCTTAACTTGTAATAAGATTTTATTTTTATGACCTTTGGTCTAAATTGACAATATCTTCTCATTTCTAATAGGCCATGCAAAATAAACATGCTATGCACTAGCCTTCTTATCTGAATTGCCTTTTTAATTTTCACAATTAATGCCTTTAGCACTGATGCCTTTGTTGCTTTGCTGCTCTTCTTCTCCTGTCTTCAGCTAAGATAAGGGTTAGTTTATGCGAGATCGCATAGCCAGAGGCAAAATTTGGGTTTTAAAGACTTAACCTATTTTGGACCAGCTTCAAATTAAGGTAACAATCGACATTCGGCATGTTAGTGCATAAACTCCCTGAAAATATGTTAAGAGAAATAAAGTGGCAGGAATTAATAGTTAAAAACATACAATCACTAAAAAAATACATCAGGTAACTGACCAGAGGGTATGTATATGTTAATATGAAACCATTTTATTATCTATGTCTAGGATCTACTCTAACGCTATAGGTTAAACCTGAGTTACAAAGATGTTAGCTTCGACTATGTTTCGTTTAGAGTGTGTTCATAAATGATCTCCCAAGACTTGGATAAGGACCATGTTAGGGAAAGTAAGAGGTCGAACATTGTATCCGCCCCAGATGACAGCTAATAGAACTTTTAGTCAAATATGAATAAATTCAGCAAAAATCAGCAAACGATGAACTAATGTACTCATAAAAGGCGAATTTTAACAAAGCTCTATAAAGAAAATGTAAATGCCACTTTTACTTTCTCACCTTTAGCCAACCCATGAGGAAGAGGAAGGAGAAAATACTAAAAATTGGGAAGTAGAAGTCGACTCTGTGCTCGTCACTGTGGTCCTTTACCGCCGCCACGAACTGCGAAGCAAATATCTGGCAGAGGAAGTAGCTGTACACAGCAATTATGACTACCTGACAAATGGGGTATAGGCGAAAAGTGCGATAAGCCCTTCATTAGGGTTAAATAGACATAAGAGTCAATTTAGGATGCTTAGGGTGATGGAGACTTGGTGCTTGAGTTTCTCACACTCAAACGAATATGGCTTCCTATGAAATTGAATTTGTCATGGTCTTGGACTACAAAGGCTTTCCATATCAAGCGGATGTGTAGCTCTGGTCTCACTTGCGTTGATACCGGCCCTAGTCACCTTTTGGGCTGTCTAGTAAGGCATTCTATTCAATTACTTGTAAACAACTTAATTATCCTGTTTTTAAATGACCTTTTTGCATTTTAGTTAGTGTAAAGCGCAATGATACTTTTTTTGCTTGGCTGCTCATCTTCTACTTGTCATTGAACTAATTCAAGGACTATTTGATGCAAATCCCGTTAATACGAAGAGTAGCTGAGCTTAGATTAATCAGTCCCATTGGAGATGCTGATGAGAAAAGGAAGATGAGGCCAAAAATGCCGTCCAGCACAAATAGGGAACCATTTTGATAAACGAGTCCTAAGAAAAGTAACCTGCCTTGGTGAAGCCTTATATTCATTTCATCGTGGGAAACTTAACTATGAACTAACCAAGATAGATTTAGGGTTTATAAAATTTCTCTTAATTTTTTCTAAAATATTTCAGAGGAACTTGGTTTAGACGAATCTCCCGGTATAAAAATTAGTGTTTTGAATTTCGTTTTATAAGATAGTATGTTGTGAAGGTATTCGTAGGCCGATCTTACTAGAAGAACGGAGCAGATCAGATGTATTTAACCCATTTCGTCAAAATGAGGACTTACTGGTAGTTGAATTTTCCCATAATGATTTGAGTGGCCTTGCTTCCCAAAAGATGTTCTCATCCGGGCAGGAGTGAACTACAGTATCGACTTCACCTAGGTCTCATCAATACCTCTAGCGGGACTCGAACACGGTTTATGGTAGTGTAGCACATAATCTCGACATGCTACCTACTACGCTACAAATTACTACGAGTCCGCTTGGGTCTCAGGGCAGATGTGAATTTCAAGGAAGGCCAAGAATTCTGTGGTGTGAGTATCGATAAAGCAAAATTGTATTGGCAAAGTCAATCGAATAAATTACTTATTTTTCGTTGACAAGTAATGTTTCGAAACTACGAGTAAACCACATGACAATAAATAAATAAATAAATACATATATATATTAATTTATTTACCCTATTTCATTAAGTTGATGAAAAACTGGTTGTTAATTTCACTTTAAACGAAATAAGATGAATAGATCTTGCACATGTATAGTTATATGATACATTTATGGTCTCGAAAACCTACTTATAAAATAAAAGTAGTAAATGCAGTCGATCGCTATAGTAAATTATTTGTTGCATCGACAATTTCACCATAGAATGTGACATGGTAAAATGCCTGGCCATTCTTGAAATTCACATTTGCCCTGTGACTCAAGGGCACTCGTGGCAAGGTGACATGGTGTTTAACTTGTCGAGATTACATGCTGTATTGTCAGGGTTTGATTCCCACTGAGGGGGCTGATGATACCTAGACGAGGCCGAAACTGCAGTCCATTCTTGCCTGGATAAGAATACCTTTTGAGAAGCAAAGCTGTACAAAATTTAATAGAAACGCATGGTCTACTCGTATCATTGCGGGAAAATTTAACTACCATTCCTTCATCACCTTAAATGAAATAGGGTGAATAAATCTCATGTTTGGTAGTTATTTGACTAATAATTTGTAGACATTGTCGAAATTGGACCTCATTTGCAAGACCATATGAGTTAGATTGTCCGGTTTTTTTTTGGATAACAAATATAGTCATTGAAACAAGAAGTGAAAACATTTAGATAAATATAATTTAAGATTAGTTTCAATTTATGACATTCTACGTTCTTCTATGCTTTCGGGAATGAAATTCAGACATCCTTAGAAGTAAGTATAAAATCTCACAATTATGTATTAATATTTAATCAGTGATTTTTTGTTGTTGCTTTTGTTACTAAATTAAATAATTGCCAAGAAGAGTCAATTAGCTTTCATTACTTTATTTCGGAACGATCAGCAATTCTTAAATAGGAACAGTACTGATCCTAGGTCATACAGGATTATGAAGAATGGATAGATTATTCTTGCCTAAAATCAGATAAGTAGATCTGACCATACCATTGAATTTTAATTATCCTTGCTTCCTAAAAGATATTCTAATCTATGCTAGATTGAATTGCAGTCTCGACCTCACCTGTTCCTCATCAAAACCACCAACTGGAATCAAATCCGTGTAGTCCAGTGTATAGTTTCGATATGTCATGCTTCCAAGAGTGTCCTTGTGTGGTAAAAGGGGGGGAGCGAAAATGTCAAGACGAGCCAAGCCTTTCACTTACCACATCTTTATAGTGGAATTGTCGATGAAGAAAACTTGTATTTGCAATAACAATCGAATACATTACTTATGTTCGTAGTGAGTAGATTTAGAAACTAAGTTTTAACCCACGACAATGTTAGGGGGACCTTCGTTTCGTATAAAAGTGCATAAAGAAGAGATTCGTTGATCGATCTCATAAGATTAGGACGGATGAATCTCGTTGTACTGCAGCCCTTTGGAAGGCGACTCAGTTACTCTGCTCAGTGATGGTTCTAACTTCACTCATACTTGTCCAACATGTTAGATTAAGCTCATCAACCAAACCATATGTGCCAAGTTACGCAGCCTCAGTCATGCCTTTCTTTAGAGGGTTAAATGTTAATA